GAAGTTCTATTGTGTTGTATTTTTTTTATGCCCCACTCTTCAATTTAATCACCAGTGAATGTGTGTTGTATGCTTCTCCTCACTCCCACAGTCCCCTAATGAGCATGGCACACAGACAATGTCACCATGTTAAACCTCTGTTCTTTTAATTATCTTCCTCCCTTCCACTTGGTACGACAAAGATTGCCTCCTGTCAAAGTTTAGTCAGCTTAGGTCAAAATGGCATGGAGAGATGTTAAATTACCACATATATGGCACAAAGAAAAGTCCATCTGTTTTTAAAGTGACCTGTTGACATGTTAGACTTTGATCCCGAATTGAAGTTTTTGATTAGAAAACTGAAGTCTGAACACGAAATACTGTTGCAACATTCACTGGAGTTTTGAAATGTGATTCAAATCACGTCTTTAGAACAAAGCCTCTGTAAATGTTTGTGGGTTGTTGTTTTTTTTGCTTCTCCCACTCCCACACAACACATATTTGGCATCACACGTTTCACCAGTAAAAGCTAAGAACAACAAACTTGACAAATGATGAGATTGTTGGGGCCTCCTTAACAGCATGGTCTGTCATCAAGGTGAGATGAATGTGACAAGAAAAAAACTTAAACAGTAGTAGTAGTAAACCACATACTAAGAAAGTATGCCGTTGGGTTCCTGTGATTACCATTCTTTACAAGTTCTGACTTGTTCTCTAGTAAATACAATGTTGACATCTGGCTTTAAGATCCGATTTGAATTCAGACTGCAATTAAACTACAGTGCAGAACTAATTTCATTTTACCACTGAATGCTAATTCACCTGTAGTGTTAGTCAACCTGTAGAATGGTTATAAATATAGCATAGACCTTTTCACAGCAGACATTCTAACTTGTACACAGGTGTTACTAATAACACTAACGATGGCTCGAACGTACAAAACGTATGCCATGCTAGCGACAGTCAGCAAGTATACACAAGAGACCTTTTTCACAACTTTTTGACTTGTCATAGGAGGAAAAGCAAAGGTGAAACAAATTTCTTTAAAGATGGCTAAGTTCCATCAAGTAAGCCAGCAACCAGTGAGCCAGCATTCACAATACCACCTGGACCCTGGAACTAGCTCAGCCTAAACGGGATGTAGTTGTTTTGTTGTATCTGTGCTGTCCCTTCTAAGACATGCTGAAATTTCTGTCGTGAAGCCTATACAAATACTCTTAATCCTAGGCAGCTAATTGGAAATTAGCCATCATTGAATGTAATATTTACACCTGTGCCTTTCCTACTGTGACATTTATATATATCTCTGTGGTCCAATTCCATACTTACATTTATCTGACGCTTTTATCCAAAGCAACTTACAATTGCTATACATGTCAGAGGTCGCACGCCTCTGGAGCAACAAGGGGTTAAGTGTCTTGCTCAGGGACACAATGGTGGATGTCTCACAGTGGATATTGAACCCAGGTCTCCCACACCAAAGACAAGCATCTTATCTATGCGCCATCACCACCACTTCATACTCATTGTATAATGTATGTATCAAATAGTCGTTGTCATAGTTCTATTGTTGTTGTTGTTGTTGATACAAAAGAGATACAAATGTTTTTCTTAAGGGGGCTTTCACACCTACCTTGTTTGGTCCGGACTTTTGGGCTTTTCAGTTTGATCCGAACCAAAATTATAAGTGTGAAACCTTCCCTAGACAACGGTCCGCACCAAAATCAGGTCAGAAAAAAAGTGATTTTCCAAGTCTCAGTCCGGATCAAACTGAACTATGGTTTGGTTCATTTCTAGTGTGAAAGCAGTTTTTGAGTGGTTCGGACTTTCAGACTATTTGTTTGTGTAAACCCGAAACAAACAAATGCATGGAGAAATGCACTGAAAAAATGACACAATTATGGTCTCTCCTCAAACGGAGGTGCAGAGGGATTGATTGCAGTCTTCTCCCCCTTTCCTGCCGATGATATGCCAAAACATCGCCGACGATATAGGCCTAATGTTCGCACGACGAAGGTGAATTTATTTTTTATTATTTTTATTTAAACATTTATTTGAACGAGCCTGTCTCAAAGTGTCAGTAATTGACACACTAATATGAGAATGTGTTACGAGTTAAGTTGGTGCTGCAGGTAGTAGACTAATGTCGTAATAATAGCAATATAGTGGCAACGACATCTCTACATTTGTACATTCCTCCCTCATTCATTCTGGTCAAAGCTCCCCATGGAACTGTTCAACCAATCAGTATCAAGTAGGTATAGGGAGACGCAGCCCACATGGATAATGATGCAAGTCCAGTTATGTAAAGTCCAAAACTAACCGAATGTATCAAATAATGAACTCTGGTTCGGACCTTGGAGCGTACTTTCAGGTGTGAAAGCCCCCTAATACTAGTGCAGGTCCCATTCACAATGTGATGCCTCCGTGCGCTTTTTGTTCAAAATGCACGTCTCACATTGATTTCATCTACAGTGATGGTCCGCAAGAGGTGGCCCGCAGGCCAAATTACATCAACAGCAACAGTTACTCACGTAAACAAATTTTTGAGTTATTATTAATTATTTTGAATTGAGGCGGGGGAATGTTCCTGCAAGGGGGGGAGCAAACACATAACCCTTGAGTTGTAGGGCTTGTACACTACTGACTGAGCTAACCCGGTAACAAACAGTTGATGTGAAAATATCATTTGTTATGTTGTGGCCCACTATCTAATGTTTTTTTTTTAAAATGGCCCAATGCCAAACTTATTTGCCTCTAACCCCTGACCAACAGCATTAATAACACTGACACAACATGACAATGGCGGAGATAATGCTAGATATTCAGCGCTTCCTTAGAACTTCACATAACCCTTACCACTCGGTTTTAATACATTAGTTTCTAACATATATCAAACCTGCATGATGACATTAACTCCATTCCAACAATTCACACATCAGAGCATATAAGCTCCGTCCCTTAGAGCCTACCCCATCCTTTCTGCTGCAGAGCGGAGTAGCATAATCCCTGCCAGTGCCAGCAGCTCTGCGAGCTCTCCTGGCCTTCGCTGCTGCAGAGCTCCGCTCAGCGCTGTTCTCTAGTATGTTTATTCATTCTTAACTTGTTGCGTGTTCAAATGGCACCCAACGCGACACTGCGACACTGAGTCCAAAGCAACACACCTCTGCCACGTTTCAAATCGACTGGATCGATGGTTCCTGACATAATACAAACACACAGACACACATACAGATTCCTTCCTTTATTAGAGGAATATTTCTGGATCTGTCTCACAAAATCAATTTCTTTTAAAGTGCTGCAGCTGTGAGTAGATCCTTCATTTTCTTTGTGCATTTCAATGTGGAACAATAGTGTTCTGTGCAACATAGCGCACTCAAAAATAAAGCATTTTTGAAGAAAAAATTCCACTGTGAACACACTGCCCTCTGAACCTTATTTAAATTAGTACATAATGTGGAGTTTGGACACAGGGCCGCATTTTTAAGCTAAATTAAGTTTGACACTTTGAACATATAAATGAAATATCAGAGAAGATTCAATTCAGTGTCAAAACAAACTTTTTTTCACCGTACGTCTCACCATATTTGCCCCCTTTCCCTCCCAACACTGAAGATGCTCTTTAAGCATACCACTGACATACACAGTCAAGTGCATCTTTCCCCTCCTACTGCAGCTCATTTAATAATTGAAAATCACTCACCATAGATCAAAGACAAAAAGAGGGTAGCCATTATCATTCTGCACAGAGCAAAATCTTTGATATGTCACACTACATTATTTTGTAAGCTTGATCTCTATGCACAGCTCCAGTGTTTTGTCTGGGTGGATGTAGATGTTCTCTCAGCTGCTGGCTTCCAAAAGCAGGGACCGTTGGGATATGTATATTTGCTCTGCTGTCCACTTGTCAGAGCAGATACAGATTAATTCCAGTGTGTCCAGAGTGTCAATGAAAAAAGCCACAGGGGTAAACAGGGGGAGGAATTGGGATGCAGGTTGGGTAGAAGAGAAAATTGAGACTTAGTGAAACAGAATAGTTGCGAAAGTGACCGAATGATAGATTGAATAGATATAGTAAGTTCAAACTTAGATGGGGAAGCACAAACTACTTATGTTGCTGAATTTTATATTTTATTTGCATCTATGAGACTTACATTTTCCTCAAGAGGGACAGAGAATACAGAACAGCAAGAATGGTACAAATGGCCAGAGGCAAAAATTGATATCCAGGCACCAAAGTAGGCTTTATACTGCATACTGGCATTTTAGCCTCTGTGCTGTCTCTGTGTTCTGTACACTTATGTGTTGATAAGGATATATTTATTGAGCTGAAATTAATTAAAAACACATCTTTGCAATGCATAGCCTGTTCCTAGGACATGATCTGATGAGCCGCCAAAGCACATTTCAGAATTCATTAGCTGCTTAATGATCATTGCCTGACTGGCACTCTCACAAATGTGTCAGTCAAATTTAACAGTTAAAATTCCTTGAAGATTTGAGGACTATCCAGACACCATGAAATGTGTCGTCAATTAATTGAGCGGTCATCATCAGAATTTCTTCCTCTTGGTGGCTTGTAGAGGTTAAGAGCATGAAGAAAAAACATCCTTACGGCCGATTCATCATTATTGGCGTGTTCTCTGAAGATTTTCTATGACCAAGCAAGGAACCGGAAAGGTTATAGGGTCTTACTTAATGAGGACTGGAACCTCCTTTTCTGCTGCAGCCCCAATTTACAATTTTGGCTGAAAAGACAGATGTCTTCTTCAAGAAAATATTTCCTCATTGCAGGTTTCAGCCACATTATTAATTACGTCCTGTCAGCTTGCCTCACTTTGCACTTTCTTGCCGTTCTGCTCAGTTCCTCAAGGACTGAGCTTTCCCTAAATTTGTCTCAAAACATGAAGAGGAAAAGTGTGTGCATCTCTTGCATTTACATCAGTTGCAGTGGAATTGGTTCCTTGTTCAATCTACCTTACTCATTGACTGCTTTTGTATTTCTTTTGTTTCTCAACCAGGTGTCGAGAAGGTTACCAGGGAATCCGCTGTGACCAGTTTCTGCCCAAGACAGACTCCATCCTGTCTGACCCAAGTAAGTTTCCACATTTTTTACTTCAATGTTTCCAATGCGCCAACATCTATCATTAGACCATGAATCTAATTTAAACACATAAAATCAATATGAGGGAGAAGGAGGGGGTTATATATCTTAGATCATTCTAATGAGGTTCAACTAGAGGAACATTTACTCTTAAGAGTTCTCATCCACATTAATAAAGCAGTAGGGAAAATCAAATGTTCAAAACCTTATATCAACGTTTGCGGTACGTGTTCTTACTGCCAACTCCTCAGCTCTGCCGTGCAAACATCCTAGAAGACAGAGTAATATAATAATATTAGCCTGCCAACTATTATAGTAGCACTCAACCAGGCAATATAAATAGAAACCATTTTACAGTTAGAATTGCATATTCCCCAAGAAGTATTCGTGGTACTTCTTCAGAAATGCTAAAATGAAAGAAAGCAAAATATTCTGCAAAATTTCTAATGATTCCAAACAATCATCAGTAAAGTTTTCTTACGGTTTACAGCTTTGTAACCTTAGCTTTTCTGCCTTCTTTTATATTCTCCTCTGTTTTATAATTTGTCCTCATACAACCTTTTCATCAATTTCTCTTCTATTCCCTGCCTTCTTAAATACCTTCTCCTTTGCAGACTAATGTCACTTCTTCCATTTCCTTATCTCCCAAAGACATGGTCCTCTCAATGTCATATACTGTAGCTGAGGAAATAACACAAATTGCTCCAAGTGTCCTTACCACTTGCTATCTATGCCATATTAATTTCCCCGTTCCTCTCAGCTTATTCCACAAAATATGCAACCTTGTCACTGGACCACTAACGTTATGGCAGTACAATAGCATATCTGCGACTTTTCAAGACAACAAGGTGCATTCTTTAATAGCACCATTTACCTTAAAAGGACACTCCTGTGCCTTTAGGGATTTCTACCTAATAATTGTCCAATGTAACAATGTAAACTTTCAGAGGAAATATTACAAAATTAAAATTTGTCATGAAATTGCATGGGAGACTGTGAGATTGCATGAGACCTTAAATGAGACATGTAGATTAAATGTGGCAAATGCAACAACGCTGTTTGCTCTTTGTTAATATCCTTTACTTTCCAGATCATTAATTAAGTCTCTTTAATGAGGTTTTTACTTCCAAGCAAGTATTAGGGTAATTGTCCTTGTTAGAACAACATTGGTGTTCACTGAAGTGGCACCCATTGCTTTGTTTGTACACCAAACCTACTGACCTGAACCAGCTAAGAACTGTTACCATCCTAATCACTTAAACAATTTGTCAAATGTCACACGAAAACAGTCGTTGAATGTGTTGCTACTGTATCTGTTGGTCATTGTGAAGAATCCTTAGCCATTGTCTTCTCCGTGTAATGGTCATTCCTTCAAAGCTTTGACCTGACAAGCACAAAATGGAGACACTTTTCATTTGGTGTGCTCACACTTGATTTCAAGTATAACCTAGAATGTCCTTTGTCAGTACATATTAGTACAACTAATAATGTTAAACTGTGTTTTTATAGGCAAGCATACAAGTCAACATATCCAATGATAAAGGAACAGTTCTTGGAAATTCCTCTAGAAATCAACAATTGCCTATGAACTAATCTTTCTAGGAAACCTCCTATGAAATTCCTAGGATTACAGACATGTAAAAGAAATGTTTTGCATTGAATAAGTGCAGCAGTTTTTAACCAACAGCAGCACTGTAGAGTTATGGTTGACTTTAAAAGGTGCATAACAACTGCGAGTGACACAGGTTCTGCCTTGGAAATGATAGAAAATAGCTGTATGTCCTGGCTGTCTCTGTGTTTTATAAAAAATAAGCTCTAGGATCAGTTTGTAACAACTTAAATGATTTACAATGTTCCATGTAATTTCAAGGTGAAGAGAACTGAGATTCAACATCAGGAACAAAGTTGTTCTCTAACAAGCCAAGTACCAAACCATAACCTCAAATTGGTTTTCTTGCCTAAATGAGTTAGATTATCAATCAATTAATTGGTAACTCCTCCAAGTGAATTTCCATATACATTGTCTGGGAGTTACCAAGTCATTACTGAGGAATGGGGAAATTTTGGAGGCACTACGAAAAAAAATAGTCTGTTTGGCATCCCAGCTGAACCCTCATCCCCTACACCTTTCTATTTGTATCAGCTTTAACTCACACCACTTTCCCTCATTCATTTCTGATCTCATTCATCTATTCTTTGCAACTTTCTCTAACTCTCTGCCAAATCTCTATCCTCAATTCATTTTCTAATAGTAAGAATCGATCTTTCAGGGCATTCTTCTCACTGGCTTTGAGCCCTCTCTCAACTACCTTCTTTATTTCTGACAAGTCCCTGTTTTCTGTTCTCTGCTACAAACACAATGTCATTTAGCCTACAGATTTAAGTAACGCCACCGTTTTCTTTCTTCCTTTTTTCCCATTTTGTTCAACTTCTTCCTGCTTCAAAAAGTTGGTAAGTGCAATATTGGAAAAGAAGAGTGGCAGAATGTGGCCTCCATCTTCTTTCCTTCCCCTCAGATAATCTTGTCATAGCATCACTCTCCTTGACTCCTTTGCTCGCAGCTCATCAAATCCTAATTTCCCGGGTTACCTTTGTGTCTCGTGCTTGCCTCGGTGTTGACATGCTTGTTTCCTCTTCCAAATTTCCCTCCTGACGGCCCCCTCTCGCCCCATTCTGTCTCCTACTGACCTCCTCCGTGCCATCCTTTCCTCAACACGCATCTTGTCCAAGCGTCAGATCTCATCCCTTCTCCCCAGCCTATGGTTCTCCGTCCAACTCATCTCCTAACACTAAGTGGCACGGGCCTCAGATGGGCTGAGGCTTGAATTGTGCCAGCTAAAAAGGTTCACCAGCAGGGCAGACAAAGGCTGCCAAGGACCTCTGGCACGCAGCAGTCTCGACGGAAGGGAAGGAAGGGCACGAGCGAGGAGGAGAGAGGCTGGATGAAAGTGGACACATCTTCTGAGTTGGGCTATCACACTGTCTCAGAGTCCCAGAGGACAAAAGGAGAGTCATGACTCCAATGGCTTTACAAAAAACAATGAGAGTGAGACACAAGGCAAGCAGAGAGAGAGAAATTTGACTTCTGAATAAAACAAGGAGTATCACACCCTATATTTTAGACAATTCAAAACACGGTTTTACAAAGAAATGGCTTTACATACAGTATTGAAAGGCTCCAAGATCAATAATGAAATACAATACACATGCCAGATATGATTACTGCACATTAAGCATTTAACAGACACATTCAGGAAAGAAGGGAAGGAAGGAAAATCACGCTCTATAATAGGGCAGCAGCTAATGAATAAAACAATTAATAATTTAGGCTTTAGAATATCAAAAAAAAATGGTGGAATCACAAGTTCTGAGAGCGAAAAAGTTCAGAATTCTTGTTTTGTCAGACTAACAGCCCAAAACCCAAAGTTCCCATGTTCACTTTACAATTATATACAGTATACTTTATATATATAAATTCTCACACTCTCACATTTTGCCTATTTGCTTGACGATTTAAAGAGGACCTACTGTACTGCATTTCCAGGCCTATATTGTGGTTCCGTGACTCCTCTATGTTAACTTTGCATGATTCAAAGTTATAAAAACAAAACAAAAAAACAATCTTATACTGGCACTTCATGCAGTCCCTCATTTCAACCACTGTCTGTAACAAGCTGGAAATGCTTCAGTCCCCCCTCCCAAGACCACTGTCTTCTGATTGGCCAAGACCCTGAAGCATGTTTGCCAGTTTAGAAGGATGGGGCTGTGCCTTACTTTGTGGGTGTGGCCGACATATTGTGCCTGGAGCAAATTACGTTATATGGAAAATTGGCTCTATGACATCATACTGAGCCGTTAGTTGAAAAAACTGTTGATTGTGAGCATTCAGAACAGGGTTTTGGCTCACAATACTTATACCTCATTATTTGAAGGTTTGGCCATGTTTAACATGAACACCTGACATTGTAACATCACAGATATGCCAGAAAATATGGAAAAGCATAATATGTCCCCTTTAAGCAATTCAGACCTTGAAAATTAGATGTCCACACAAAGGAAAAAGGAGATGTTGTCCACACAGTGAATTTTGCGAGATCCGAAAATAATTTTTATTGATGCAACATTTCCACCACAAGGTACTTGTCAGACATGCGATGAAGCCTGACAAACTTTTTATCAATACAAATTATTTTTGGAGTTAATAAAACTCAGTGTGTGGCCAGCTTGAAACTTTTCCATCATATTCTGGTTCGTAAGGGTTAAAAGGACTATGATGGAGCTATGTACTGTAGGAACCAAACTTAACACGGTCTTCAACAACAATCACAAAGATTTTAAACTCTCTTCTCTGAAAACTAACTTGCCACCAGCACACAGAATATCTCAGGGGTTACACATGACTCACTGATGTGCATTTAGTTCTCAAAATGCTGACAAGGCTCAACACTGAGTTTGTTACCTAATGTAACTCGCTTGATGGGATTTGTTTGAGATCAAAGATTTGTTTAGGTTTCCCCTGAATCTGTCATACTGCAACAAAGGGTTTTTGTTGTCATCCTTACATACAGTATGTCAAATTGAGTTCAAACCGCTTTTGTTGTCGAGGCATCTTTTGTTGTTCAAACTGGGAGGTTGTTGATTGGCATTACCCATTCGGAAGAACTTGCGCAGGATAATGAAGTATTCAGGGCGTAAACTAGACTCTAAATACATTCTCTTTGAATAGTGCTCCTTCTCTTCTCTGTCCTACCTCAATCTCTTTCTTTACTACTTTTATTGTCTACATAGCCCTTTTGCATTCATTGTCTTGGCCTGGGCATTGAGACAGTCTAGTTTTACTGTGCTGCAAGGCAGAGTCAGAATCAGCATATTTTCATCTACAGTACAGTACATGCATCATATCACACCCCATAGACACAGAGAAAGAGAGATTTGGAGATTTAAATCTGAAGACAAATTTAATTCACACTATCTTTATGAGATCTGATTTCATGCTTGGCAGGTTTGTGTGCACCACAGATGATAACATTGCAGTAACCATGCAAGTCCAATTTCCCACAGAATACAACCATGTGTTTCACGTTGTATGCATGTTTCAATCCTTAAGATATGAAGGAAGCATAAAATGTGTGATTACTTTAAGCTTTATGCTTTTATCATGAGCCAACTGTTGAAGCAAGGGCAATGCAAGTCACCTTGGATTGGATGTTACACTGATGCTCTAGTGAACATGTGGTTGATTATTCACAACTGTGAAAATACTTCCATTTTTGCTTGAGCCTTGCATAAATGCTAACAATAGAATATTATTCAGTTGAGTAAAAGGATTTCTTTTGTGAGTTCTTTGGTTTAAATGAACACCAAAGTGTCCTTGGGCAAAAAGGTCAACAACTCCAGCTCCAGGGTTAATGCTCTGTAGGTGACACTGACATTTAGACAATTTGGGAATCAATAGTGTCAGACTTTTATGTAGTAGTATCTATCTTTATTCATTATTTAGCAAAGTCAAACAGAAAACAGGCTCAAACTCCCCAAACTCTCCAAAAACACAAGACAAGTATCTGCCTATTAAGACTTTACTTATTTTGCTATCTACAAATGTGTTTTGTTTTTTAAAAATAGTTTTTAGGGCTTTTTAGCCTTTAATCATAGCACAGCTGGAGAGTGACAGGAAATGTGGGGGAGAGAGAGAGGGGACAACGTGCAGCAAAGGGCTGGACTCGAACTCTGGCTTGCTGTGACAAGGTCTAAGCTAGCTAGTTCCCCAACCAGTGTGTTTTTTTAACTGCCACTAGGAAAGCCAGGTCAGACATTTTTAAATCCTCCATCTTGCACATGGAGGATTTATTGATGAAAAAGGACATTTAAAATACCTTTCCAGCACTTTTTTTAAAATAGCACCCATATAATTACAGTAGGTTGTATAGATCAGTAGCTGTAGATTAAGAAATATTGTAGGTCACATACACACCTTTTTGCATTTGACATAAAATCGGTTAGAAAGCTGTGCAGTTGCAGCTACAGAGCTCTACTATTAAATGTCCTTGGATTATATTCCTCAAGTCATGCTGGCACATTTCTTTAAGTGCATGTTTGTTTCTGTGTGTGTTGTTGAGGGCAGACCCTCTACATTTATGCATTTCTGTTTCTGCATGGTTGCCTCTCCATCCTGACATTCCCACACAGTGTTGGGAAGTGATTGTCTCAGCAGACATCTTGTTGAATTCACACCATCTGAAAGACGAAGAGAAAAAGAGCTGGCTTAACACTCAGAAGTATCTGGTATCAGGCCTCCTTCTTATACTGACTTATAAGTCTGCGTGCTTGACATCCTTAGGAAACCAAAGCCAAAGAACGTCTGAGCTAGTCTGGCTCTTAAGATGTGAAAGATGTGAGTTTCTTTAATGCCTAACAATCACTGGAAGCAGATTGAATCCCTTTCAACCCTAGATCAAGATTTTGTATTTTGTACTTTATAATATTATAAATAATATTGCTTGCTTTGTATGAAGCTCTAGCTGCAGAGGCACAGACTACTTTTAGTTTAATTGGCGTCTGTCCAAGGTGAAGGAAATGGCAACATTCACATCTAGACTATCCATTAAAAACAACAAAAGAAGTCTCTTTGACGGCAGGTCTCTTTGAAACCAGATGAAAAGAATTCATCGTACACATTAATAGTGTTCACCCTCTCCTCTCTCACTAGACGTCTATTTTTTTGTGCTTGCATGCATATCGCTGTACTGGATTACAATTAGTAACATAAGTAACATAATCCAGTGAGCTGCTGTTAATCTGTGGTAAATCACACTCAAATAACACACAGATGGTAAATGCAAATTTTAATAAAGGCGCAGAGCAAATTTGCCCTGCGCTTTCATGTACGAAAACCAGGCACAGAGACATAAAGTTAATTTCCCTAACATACAGAATGTTTTACTGTTCATGAAATAATTAACACAGGAAAGGTGTAATGTTCATACAAATCTAATGGTATGGGAAGTCTCCTATAAGTCTACATAACTTCACATTGGCATGGCACCAAAAGTTTAACTTTTACATTATTTTTTATGACTTCTTGATTGCTAGAGGAGCTGTATCTCATCAAGTGGACCTATTGGTAGCAGTAGCTTGAGGTAGCAGTTATATAATGTATACGCATTTGGTCGTGTCACAGCAATCAAAAGCACAGGTGTAATTAATAACATAGTGCATAATGCATTGCATGCACTGGGACACCTAAATGTTTTCATCATTGTTGTTGGTTCCACCTGTACTTCTCCTGCTGAGACAAGTCAAATGTCTCTTGTGAAAAAGGACGACAGCTTGCAACATCAACAAGACTTAAGACTCAAACACAAAGAAAGTACAGGAGGGGCTGCTATAGTCTCTCAGCAGGGCTACCACAGCTTTATCCTCAGTCCCATCTGAGACTGAAGTGCATGCGAGAG